GGGGCCACATAAACCCAGACCGGGGCCTGGAACCAGCACGCCCGGGGCCTTCATCCAAAAAAAGAAAAGAAAAAAAAGATGAAAAGCCAAAAAAAAAAAAAAAAAAAAAAAAAAAAAAAAAAAGAACATAGTAACTTTGTGGCCTAACATGAGTATTAATTTTAAAAAAAAGTCACCAACTCTCCAGCCCAAGATTCAGCAAACTTTTTCTATAAAGGGCCAAGGAGTATTTTAGGTTTTGTGGGTCAAAAATACTCTGTTTAGTAGTCTTTTTTTTTTCTTTTTCTTGTCCATCAACCCTTTAAAAATGTAAACACCATCCTCGGCTCTGTGGTAGGGTGGTATGAAAACGGGTGGAGGTTCCAGGCTACAGTTTGCAGACCTCTGCTCCAGCCAAATTAATCTTATGATGCTTCAAATATGCAACACATACTTTAAGTAACTACTTAAAAATATCTTAATATTAAAATATTTGATCATCTAAGTTTTCTAAGAGCATACTTATGAAACAATAAATGATCTATTTTTGAAATGCCAATAAATCTGTCATATTTTTAAATATCTAATTTGTTTATTCTCAAAGTTCCTTGGCTATCTATAAAATTTTACCCACCACTAAAATGATTTTGAAACATTCGAATGTTTTTAAGAATTTGCAGTATTTCAATTTTAAACTGTAGCAACATTTCTAAATAGTTTTTCAATAGAAAAGTAAAGTCGAAACTATCTGTTGTCCTTTATTAATTATACCTATATTAAATACCACTGAACATATTAAAGAACACTGGTGTAAGTTTTTGTAAAACTGAAACTTCAAAGAATGAAAAGAGTCTGCAATCAAGCTTATGATGTAGCCAACTTAAGTTTAACAGAATATTTTATTTAATCATTTCCTTCTGGTCCCTAAATGATTTACATCATTACACATAGCTACACATTTGCTCCAAGAATATAAAGTGTATGCCAGAGAAATATCAAGAAAGCTAATTCCACCAACTTTACTATAAGCAGGCAGTTTAAAAAAAGATACGTTGAGGTACATAAAAGAACTGGGAAGAATTTCCTAATCCTCAATGGAATGAAATAAAATTTCCCTAAGAAATATATCACATGTGGTTTACATCTTGACTGTATTTTAAAATAAAAACGCTAGTTTTCAAAATATATGCGCCTGAAATTTTTTTTTAATTCCATCCTTTTATAACATCATAAAATATCCTCACATTGATAAATCCAACAGATTTATGTTCAAATGTAACTATGAAAAAGAAGACCACCATTTAAATATGTCACTATGCAAGTGCTATGTATCCAACAGGAAAAGAGAATTGCAATAATGCTAGAAATTATTCAAAAAGAAAATTCAAAATGTACTCAACTAATTTTCTAATGGGATTTATAAATCTATTAATTTAAACTTTTAGTGTGACTTATAAATAATAAGGAAATTTCTAACTGAATTTAAATGCCATATAATTTTCATTCAAAGGATATTTACTTGATGGAAGGTAAGATAAAAAGTTCTTGTTGATATTCTACTCAGGATTTATTTTACTGTCTGTATTCATTTTAATTTAAGTATTTTTTTTAATTTTCCAGGGACAAAAGAACAGGGACAGAGACAGTCAGAAAAGACACCAATGACTGGAATTAATACATTTAGCCTCAGAAACTTACTTACTAAAGAATCATGGCTTTTGAACAGCTAGAGGAAAAAAATACTGGTAAGTATTTTTTAGAGTGAGTTGTTAAGCTGGCATTCATCTAAGGTGAACAATGAGACTCTGTTAACTATTATTAAGACCCTGTGGGTTATAACCTACTTGAAGTATCCTTTTTTGCCCTACCATTTTGCCCCCCCAAAACAAAACCCTGAGTCAGATAATGTCTTTGGAACTAACTCCAGTTTACAAGAAATTCGGGCATAAACAAACTTGCTAAACATCACTGCAAGGATACAGTCAACAAAATCCAGGACGTGAGATACTCTATACGAGGAGCTGTTTCTTTAAAAAAAAAAATAAGGAAAAAAAGAGGGAGAGAAAACCTATAGACTAAAAATGACTGGATTTACCAACCGATCTGAAGAAACCAACTACTTTAAAAAAAAAAAAAGTAAGACGGGCGAACTGGAGTTTTTACTAGTTAATATTAAATAACTGGCAATTTTTAAGATATGATAAAGACATTTTTTGAGAGTCCTTATCTTTTAGAGATACATACTGAAATACAAATGAAATCATATGAAGTCAGGGATTTCATATAAAAAAATTAGGGAAAGTGGGTATACTTAAAGATGAAAAAGATCTGCTAAGTATTGATAACTGTTATGGTTGAGTGATGAGCACATACTACTTCTACTTTTCTATATGTCTACCAAACTAAAGAATTTTTAATATCAACGGTGAAAATCAGTCAAGTGGAGATGATGAATTTATCAAGATTCCTAGTTTAGTAGGAATTAAAAAAAGATAAAGTAAAATGGAGAAAAATTTAATATTCATTTCATAAAGCATGATTATCTTCAGAAACTAATTTTAATTTATTACCTGTAAGAGGTTAAGAAATTCGTTAGTTTAACATAAACATGACAAATTCAGAAAGATTAGAAAATATATTACTATATAAGGCAGAATCTAAAGAATTCTAAATATATATCATCCACCTGACAATGTAAAATCATTTTAGTTAACCAGTATTTTACTTACATTTTCCATATAGTTTGGCTTAAAGCCCTCCTGCTGTCGCCTCAGCTCCTCCTGTTCTCTGTGTCGGATCATTTCCTCTTCACGACGACGGTGCTCTTCTTCATGCCTGAGAGATTTTTAAATAAAAACTCAGGGTGGTTGACATATAAGCCATAATACGGTATTTTATTTCAGGTAAAACAAAATCATTTATGTATATCATTTATTTATACATTATGCCTAATCTGTGATAACGAGTGGCTTACCAGATTTACCTTCCTTTTATTTTGCTCTAAACCATTAATAAATCAAACAAACCAATAAAATAATTTATCTAGGGTAAATCAAAAAAGTAAAGTAACAGCATATAACTAGGATAATTATATGCTTACAGTCAAAAAATCCAGAAACCAAAAGCTCAAACCAGTACTCTATTACTGTACAAGGAGAAAGCCCGGGATTCACAATCACTGGCACAGCAGAGTTAGTTCTTAGAGACACTCAGAACCTATTCCAATACAAGCCACTGCAAAGGACCACATTGCCTAGACAAAAATCCTACTACGTGCAAAAGGAAGCCTTAACATTCTCTCCCCCATTTCATTAATGCACTGAGGAAAGTATGCACCTGGAACAGGTGTCTGATTACCACCTGTTTTCGCAAATTAAGTTTTATGGGACAATCATTCCCTCACTGTCTGTGGCTACCTTTGGGCTAGAGCAGTGCTGAATAGCTGATACACAGACCATATGACATGAAAAGCCTAAAATATTTACCATGTAGCCCTTTCCCAGGAAAAGTATGCCAACCTCTGCCCCAGAGATATCAAGCATGGAACAACAACTACAAGACAAACAAAAAAGATATGTATGTGCAGGATTACTATTAAATCATAATTAGTTACAATATGATTAAGAAGGAAAAACCTACAAAATAATATTGAAGTAATAGTCTGACATTTAAATCAATGCAAACTCAAATATACATGCTCTCCACTCAAAAACAAAGAAGTAATTTAAACAGCAAAGACTATATAATGCTGATGCCCCCTCAGTAGGTCTCATTTTCCAGGCTACTCTTATAAGCACCCTTTTACACCAAGTATAGATACTTCGTTGTTGTTTTGTACACCAAACACAGTACCTGAACTAAAAGAAATGGCGGTTTCACCCACAGCCAGCAAGAAAACAGGTTGTTAGGACTTCATATCAGACCATGTGCAAGTAACAAGACAATGTTCCTAAGGTATTTCAAGCAAACTCTGGATTTTGAGATATCTACATCCCCAGTATAGATCTCTATTCAAGGAAACAGAATATTCCAATAAACCGGTTAATCCATTTCTAGTACATTAACACACACATAAATTTTATGGTTAAGAAAATACTTTCATGTTCATACACTGCTGAAAATGTACATAGTGACAGGAAAAATTCTCTTCAAAAACTCTAAGGCCACATGTGTTTTTCAGACTTTAAAAAGGGTTTAATATACTATTATGATATCTCCAGTAGGATCTATTATGATATCCCAGCAGTACCCAATAATCAACACCATTAATACTTCTGTAGTAAGATGAACATTCACATTCTACGAATATAACACAGGTTTGGCATGACCACAACGTAAAACAGGTCAGGTTTTGCATCATACAGGCTCATGTCAGATCCTGCCACTAAATGATACTCAAAGCTTTTTGGTCTTCAAGATTGCAACAATGACTTTGTTGAGGACCAACGTGTAGCAAACAATTTTATGTGTGCAAATCCATTTCCAGTAAACTAAACAGAAATATCTATACATGTGTGCAAGAATGTATACACACAGATACAAGACTGTACATTAATTAAAGGCAAAAGGTTGAAGACATTCAATTACAAATGAGGGACAAGGAATACAATACAACCATTACAAAGGCAGATTTGCATTCACTGACATGAAACAATGTCTAAGGTACAGTGTCAGAAAAAAGGCAAGCAAAACAATAGTATTCCTATTGCTGCATCTAAAAACCATTTGTACGAGCAGAGAAGAGAGTATGAGAGTTTCTATCACACTGGGGATAATCTGGGGAGACAAGAGCATTGCCCTTTTTCTTTTGTACACATACGTATCATGTGAGTTTTTTTAAACATGTATTGCCATAACATTTTTAATTTAAAAGATATTTTAAACAAAATTTATAATGTACTTCTCCCTATTGTTAGAGCAATTTTTTTCTGATAAAATGTGAGACTACATTTATATCTGGAGAAAAAATATGGTAAAAAGGTATAAAATCACTTTAAACATTTGCTATTTTTTTCCTTCCATTCCATTGCCTATAGATTCGAGAGTTTCTACTTTATTTTGTGATTACACCACACTGACAATTCCATAATATAAATTTACAGGCAACATATAGGAACATTCCCTACTGTACATATGTTTGCGTTTAATTTTTTTCCTTCCACAAGATGCTTTAACAATTATCTTTATATTTAATGTCTCTTTGGATCAAGGATAATTTCCTAGGTTATATTCACAAATGTAACTAATAAGTAAAGAAGCATGATGAATTTTAACTTCCTTCATGTTATACTTAATTGGAAATTGATAAAACCTCTATTTTACAATTTATTTTAATTGGAAGCCCACTAATTGTCTCATATTTTAATAGGACTTTGAAACCTGAGAGGCTTTAGGCACTAAGCTATGATACAACTGATATAAAAATGTCCTGCTCTTTGTTCCAGTCCAGCACTATGGCCTCCACACCCACCAAAGGCCTCAGTCCATCTGATGATCTTTATACTTTGTCAAATGACATAAAAAGGGAAAGAATGGATGGATGATGGGTAGATGAGTGAGTAGGAAGGAGTAAGGGAAGGAAAGAAGAGAACAAATGAACAAGTACTAAGTGGGCCAGTTACAGCCTGAACCAGCCCATCTAAGCCCTGTCCGCCTTCACTGTCACAGCCTCTGAAGAAGTGACCCACGAAAACCTAACTTACTTGTAGCATTGAAATGAAAACCAGAAAATTTTGTATACTCCAAATTATTTAATTTCTTTCAAATATATTTTCTTAAGCAGTTTTTTCAGTCTCCCAACTAAGGTAAACAGAAAGGCCGTGTCCAGACTCTCTGGCTGTCTCACGTGGCAGCCTCCTGAGTCAGACCAACCTCTGCAGGCTGCTGTATTTTTATCTGCTTTCTGCTGCAAGGGCAGGATATATTTGACAATTATTAGTAAAGTAAGTTCCTAGACACTATTTTTTTCCTTTCCTTCATACATGCTGCAAAATTACTCAATTTTAACACATTATTTACATTTCTTAAATCAGGAAACAATTCTTACAATTAATTTCAAAACAAACTCCACAGGCACAAGAAAAGATTAACAGATTTATCACTGGCTGTATCTGCTAAAATACAGCCAACCATAAAAGTTACGCATCAAATTATCACTTAATTGTTGACATATCTTTATATTGTTAGTACACACTTATCTGAATTTCAAATTGAATCTGATATACCTCTGCAACATTAAATAAGATTAATGGAAGACCATTCGGTGAAAAATTACCAGGTACATAGAATACTTATCACGTCAAGCAACCAATATTTCAATTATTAAACAAGTAACCTATTAAAAATTCCAGTAAGTACTGCGTTCTATTTTGTGCGCTTCACTTTCTTTTTAATAATCTGATCATATTCCAACTAATGTCTGCCTCCCTCCCAGATTACCTAAGTGCCACACCAGCAGAGCTTGTGTCTTTTGTTTTCCATTGTATCCCCAGTACATAGAGTCCTCTTTTTCATTTTTCATTTCCAACTAATTTTAAACTTACAGAAAAGTTGCAGAAATAGTAGAGTTCCTATATCTCCCTCATGCAGCATCCCCTAATATTAACATCTTCCATAACTATAGTACAATTATGAAAACCAAGAATTCACACTGGTACATTGCTACAGTTCAACTCTAGCTCTTACTCAAATTTCACCAGTTTCCCCACTATGTCCTTCTTCTGTTCCAGGACCCTATCCAGAATCTCACATTGCATTTAGTTATTATTTCTCTTTAGTCTCCTCGAGTCTGTAACACTTCAGTGTCTCTTGGTCTTTCATGACCTTGACACTTTTAAAGAGAACTGATTATTTTGTACAGTGTCCTTCAATTTAGGTTTGTCTTAAGTTTTCTCACGACTAGCATAAGGTTATGAAGCTTTGGCAAGAAAACCACAGAAATGACAATGTACACTTCTGGGTGCATCATATCAAGGGGTGCCTGGTGTCCGTGTCTTATTAAGGGTGATACGAACCTAAACGCTTGGTAATGGTGGTATCTGCTGGGTTTCTCCACTTCAAATTTACTATGTTTCCATTTGTACCTCATACAAATTTGAGACTCCACAAATCCTGTATCCCAAGTTTTGTGCAACAACCTTAGCACCTACTGGGAAATCTTGAATGAAACAACTATAGGCGTGCCTCATTTTATTGCCCTTCCCAAAAATTGCATATTGCTTTTGCACACTGAAGTTTTGTGCCAACCCTGTGTTGTCAGATGGTTAGCATCTTTTAGCAAGAAAGTATTTTTAATTAAGGTACACACATTGTTTTTTAAGACATGCTATTGCACACTTAAAACACTACAGTGTAGTATAAAGGTAACTTTTATATGCACTGCGAAACAAAAAAATTCACTTTATTGCAATATATTGTGCTGGTCTGGAACCAAACCCACAGTATCTCCAAGGTGTGTCTGTATTACTGCAGTATTCACCCATTGGTAATTTTTCTCTCAGACTCATTTCACATTTATTATTTGGAATTCTACTTCTAACAACTAAGGAAGAGTTGTCCATTCTCCCCATTTATTTACTTACTCATTAAAATAACTTCTATCAGCACAAACTCATGGATATTTACTTTATTCAACAGTGTAAAATCTAATACTATCATTTTTTATTTTGTTGTTGAAATTGTTCCAACTTTGGCCCTTAGGAGCACCTTCAGTTTGGCTCCTGTGTTCTCTCAACATGCCCTAGCATTGTTCAAGTACTTTGCTTCTCTCTGACACAAGATTTGTCAGGCTCATCTTGGACTTTTCAAATCCTGGAATCAACCGCTTCTCCAAAAAGCCCTGGTTCCCTTTATTGGAGAATGGTGCTCAGAAACAAAAATCTGGGCATTAGATGAGCTCATTGTTCCTGAGGCATCACTGCTTCTAGATGGACAGGGCTAGGAAATATGTATATATATATGAACCGATGTACATATACATGTCTATATTTCTGTATCTGTCTAGATTAAATGCCACTCAGTTCATACTGATACTTAGAATCCCCATTAAACATCACAGGAGTCGTTTTAATTTTAGCCTTTCTCCCTTCTTTCTTTCTCCAACAATGAGAAACCTGGTTCATACTGATCTGTACTAATATATTCACTTAAAAAAGTATATACATTATTTTCAATAAAGTCTTGATCAAAGAAAGAAAAAAAGTATATACATAAAGTAGTTTCAGAATTGCAAACCTATATCCCTATGAGAAATACATTTACTAACTAGATTACAGAATTTATATATTGTTCTTGCCACTAGCCTATAGTATTCAATCAAGATACAGTTATCCAAAGTTATTTAGGTTCCTTATTTTCTTCCCCATCTCCTTCCAGTGTGACAATGCTGTCCATTTATATATAATACAGTTAAGCTCATCTGTTATATTTTTATTCCCTACTTTGGGTTCCCCCACATTGATTTTTTCTCGGTTTGTTTTTGTTTTTCTTTTTGCTGACTGAAGTACAGTTGATTTACAATGTTAGTTTCAGGTGTACAGCAAAGTGATTCACTTATACATACATATTCTTTTTCATATTCTTTTCCATTATGGCTTATTACAGGATATTGAATATAGTTCACTGTGCTATACAGTAGGACCTTGTTGTTTATCCATTCCATACATAGTAGTTTGCACCCCACATTGTTTAGTTTTAATTACTTATTATTTTAGCACACTAGTATAGGGCACTAATTTTAAAAGCCTACTTGTCAAGGATAAATGTAAGAGAAGAAAGCTGGATTCAGGTAGGTTTATATTAGGGGAGAGGAGGTTTCCTTTTCTTTGTACAAGTAGAGGAGACTTTAACACGTTTACATGAAGTGGAAAGAAGCAACAAGAAAGAAACTGAAAAAGGTCCCTCGTGTAAGAAGTTCATGGCGGGAGTTATTTACACCAGTGGTTCTCAAAATTTAGGATGCACCAGAGTCACCTGGAGGATTTACCAAAGCACAGGTGAATCAGTTTATGATTCGGTAGTTCAGAGGGAAGGCTTGAGACTTTCTAACAATCTCCTAGGTTAGAATGCTGATGCTGCCTGCCAAGTACCATAAATTGAGAATAAGTAGGTTAGAGTAAAATCAGAGAAGTACCAAGACAGAAATACACAAACGTTGGTATAATCAGGTATAAAGTTGGAAGAAAAACACTAAAATATATGGTCTAGTACCTATCTCCTGACCGTGAAGACACTTCAAACTCATTAACAGTTTTTCACTTTATTTCCCATGAGCACCTAACTTCCTGTCACAAGCACTTACTACTTTTATAGCACTTTCAAAACAAAATTTTAAGTTTGCTTTAATCTATAATATCTTTGTTTATAACAATTCCTAATTATGTTTTTGTTTTTTTCTTTTTTTGCGGTACGCGGGCCTCTCACTGTTGTGGCCTCTCCCGTTGCAGAGCGCAGGCTCAGCGGCCACGGCTCACGGGCCCAGCCGCTCCGCGGCACGTGGGATCTTCCCGGACCAGGACACGAGCCTGCGTCCCCTGCATCGGCAGGCGGACTCTCGACCACTACGCCACCAGGGAAGCCCCTAATTATGACTTTTGAAACTTGTAAGAGTAATACTTATCTCATATTTTACAACTGAATATTGCAGGTACAAGAAAAGCTGTTAATTTTTGTTTCTACATCTTGGATCAACTACTCCCTTAAACTTCCTTACTTAACCTAAAAGATTTTAAGTTGCCCATCACAGTTCTCTATTATGTACTGAGATCTTTAATGCCCATACCCTTTTTACCATGGATTCCAGATATCTTTTTTAAACAAATTATCACAAGTACAAAAATGCTTAACGGCATTCAGAGTAGTATTATACACATGAAAAAAAACTCAGATCAACGCAAATATATCCATCTCTGGAAAAATGGCCCCATAAATCATGGTGCATTCTTACAATAAATTATACGAAACAATGCCTAAGCCCTTTATGTAAGTTCACATTGTCTGCAAAGTGTCCATAATCAGCTATAAAAAACACAGAATAACAAAGATTTATGTTATCTCAAAGATTTATGTTATCTTCTGGAGTAATTCCCTAAATGTGGTCAGAAATCGACAATTTTGGTTTCCTCCCCTGTATTTTCCAAGTTATATAACTTGTTGATAACAGGCATTGGGAGTTTTATTCATAACATACATAATGAAACCTACATATATTCACGTATACGTTATAGTGATGTTCTTTACCTCAGTTGTATTTGCTTCCGTTTTTGCAGCTCTTGGTTTCTGAGTTCTTCTAAGCGTCTGAGTTCCTCTTGACGCCTCATTAAATCTACAAGATATTGATTATAGATTAATATTTTTAGCTTCCCCTTCTGTATTTTTATATTCATAAGCATATAGATTCTCTATGACTGGCAATATATGTAGTAACTTATTCATACTCATGCACCTAGCTTCCCTTTTTGTCTATCACATCATTTTACAATGAAAGATTATAAGCTGTGTAATAAATTAATATCACTTCTGGGCCCATTTCTTCATGTGTATGAAGAAAATAATAAATCCATCCTTATATTAAGAAATTTAAAAAAAAAGAAATTAAAATGGGCAGTAACTGTTTTAAAACAGGGTCTAGAACATATTAAAAATAGAATAGTAGCTACATTTTCATTTACATAGTTTTAAACAAATTAGAATTTTTTTCAGCAGCAAGCTCAAAGCCCAAAAAGATGCCTTGGCAACCATCAGCAGAGGGCATGTAAGAACCAGACCAAACAGTACGAATAATGAGATAGGACATGGCATAAAACTCAAAAACATCCCTCCCAACACAATCAGCAGGTTTCCTCCTGCATCAGGTCTGTGTCATATGAAAGAGGGCAATGAGGAGACAGTTCCTGAAAGGGGAAAAGGGCTGAATACTGATATGAACAAGACCACTTTAAACAGGACGAGCATTCCCACTGTCACCAACCCATGTCACATCATCAAGAACAGGGGTTCCATAAACAAAAACAAACAAACAAAAAAACAATAAAATATATTTCCAGAAAAAAAAAAGAACAGGGGTTCCACTGCAGAATAAGATAATGAAAGATACATTTGTTTTGCACATCTGAGAAGCAGTGGATAAACTTCCCAAGTATTAAAACTCTTTGTAATATCTTACCAAATTACATGTGCACGCATGCATAAAATATATATATACACATATACAGATATATGAATACCCTGAATAACACAAGTATTGGTTGTTTTTATTTTCGTTTTCTAAAATCATGTTACCTGAAATTTCTAAAATAAACATATATTAATTGAACGTTTCTTAATAAATTGCTATATTCAGAATTCACTTAACGTAATACTTAACAGTTAAAGTTAATATTTCATGTGCCAATAACTCTAAACATCTTAACCATAACAACACAGGCATAATTATAACAAGGTATTATCCTCCCTACAGATTGAATTATGTATTAATTATGTCAAAGAAAAAAGATCCAGACAGATTATAAATGTGTTCTAGCCATCCAGCCACTACATGGTTCAACTGGGATGTATAGCCAAATCTATCCTTATTCCAAAGCTCTTTCCAAAATGCCAGCATTGCAAACCTGGCTGTTCAGCCTCAACTGAGAAACTTAAAAAAAAAATTTTTTTAAAGCTTTTCGGACTCTGCTCAGGAAAGTCTGCTTTGGTATATGGGGTAGGAACCAGGCGGTTCTGATAGCATGCCAGCTGAGAAAACATTCAGCTATCTTAAAACGCAAACATGACTGCAATTAAGTTCAAACGTTTTTGCCATTAGCCGTCAACCTTGACTGCTCATTAGAATTACTTAAGTACCTTTTAGCCACAGACCAATTAAATCAAATCTCTTGGGATGTGGACCAACTGAGTATTTTTTTTTTGAAGCTCCCTAGATGACTCCATTCTGCAACCAACATTGAGACCCCATAACTATCATATAATTTCTATAGCTGGCGAGACTTGTAAAGACCAAAAATATACAATCTATTTCTATTCCTAAGGGGAAATGCTTCAATAAGCCAAAGCATGGGAAGTATCTTACTATCATTAATTACCCAAGAAAGTCAATACAGTGCATCCTGTAACAGTTTTATTATTGATTTTGTAGGTTAGTTGTTCTTAAATCAGGGGCACATATAGTAATAAATGTAAAATTACATTTTCTTCCATGAAAAGGAATAAGAAAAGAACATGAATGTTTTCTGACAACTGGATCTTCTCCTTTTAAGCTGGGCCAGTTAAGACAGGTGCTTTAACCTCTCAGATCGTGCTTTCTCACCAGTAACATGGGTATAATAATTAGCTCAAAGGATCTGACAATCAAATTATCAGATAAGCACATTATCTAACAGTCATGAGGAGCACTATCAACTTAAAACAGAACTACCATTTTACATCTTCCAAATTATTTCCTTTAAGTTGCTAATATCCAGGGTTCCTGAAATTTCACTAAAGCTTATATATTTGTATACTGCCATGATAATATTCTTCTGGAGGAAAATATTACCCAAAAAACAGGTAACCTGAGGTGCTTTTAATCCTTTAACCCAGTAAATCACACTCATAGGAATTTTTCTTATAAAAATAATCCAGGGAATTCCCTGGCAGTCCAGTGGTTAGGACTTGGTGCTTTCACTGCAGGGGCCCAGGTTCAACCCTGCCGGGGAACTAAGATCCTACAAGTCGCACACGGCCAAAAAAAAAAACAAATCCAAAGGCATCCACAGACATAAAGTATCAGCTGCAGCACTACTCACTAACAGACCAAATAACATTTAAAACTGTGTACCTAACAAACACAAAAGACGTAAAACTGTATCTATAATTGCAGTATATCATAAACACGGGTATACAGCAAAAAGGGAATAGAGGGGAATATGGACAAATTTTAAGTCTGATTTGCTAGACTGTAGGAAAGTGTTCTCTCAATGTAATATCCTTCGAGTCATGAAGACTAAACATATGCTCTCTGATCTAACACAGCTCCTTCCTAGAAATATAAGAACTGAATCTATAGATTGAAAGGGCACATCTGGTCCCAAGAAAAGTATGATGGTGTACAATAAGATACATCTGGAATATAAGACTGGACAGATGGAAAGATGTAATAAAACAAGTATGGTAAAATGTTAGTAACAAAATCTAAGTATTAAATACCTTAAAATTCTTTGAACTTTTTTTTTTTTTTTTGGCCACATCATGCAGCTTGTGGGATCTGTTCCCCAACCAGGGATCCAACACATGCCCTCTGCAATGGAAGCGCAGAGTCCTAACAACTGGACCACCAGGGATTTCCCCTTTCAACATTTTTATGTTTAAAATTTCTCATAACAAAATGTTTGGGCGGAAAACATATCCTGGATAAGTTACTGAACCTTAAAAGAATTCACATGGAAGCCTGTTAAAAGGATCAAGTCACAAGAAGGGAAAAAAATCCAGGTTTATCTCAGACTTTCCCACAGAAACATACTATCAAGTACTTAAGAAAGGGGAGAAAGAAGCATGAATTTTACACCATTCAAGAGAGGGTTTAAAGTATAAGATCATGAGGACTTCTCTGGTGGCGCAATGGTTAAGAATCCACCTGCCAATGCAGGGGACACGGGCTTGAGCCCTGGTCCAGGAAGACCCCACATGCCACGGAGCAACTAAGCCTGTACGCCACAACTACTGAGCCTGCGCTCTAGAGCCCACAAGCCACAACTACTGAAGCCTGCATGCCTAGAGCCCATGCTCGGCAACAAGGGAAGCGACCGCAGTGAGAAGCTCGTGCACCGCAACAAAGAGTAGCCCCCGCTAGCAGCAACTAGAGAAAGCCCGCGCGCAGCAAGGAAGACCCTACGCAGCCAAAAATAAATTAATTTTTTTATAAAGTACAAGACCATGGATGTTTTAGAAGATGCAGGAACACTGTTTCTGTGAACCTTCTGACAGAAATCACAAGGATAAACATCAGAGAATCAAGTGATGAACAGAAAAGTCATGACTCAACATATTTAAAATAGGGCTGAGAGAATTATGTGAGAAACGTGTGAGAACTACGGTTAAGGAACATTAAAAAGAAAACAGGGTCTCAAAGACACATTTGCACTTCCATTGTCCGTTGCACTATTCACAACAGCCAAGGTAATGGAAACAAACTAATGTCTATCAACAAATGAATGGATAAAGATGTGGTTGTGTACATACAGACACATAATGTACACACACAAAAAATGCGGTATACAGAAATATAGACACACACATTGGAATATTATTCAACCATCAGAAAAGGAAATCCTGGGCTTCCCTGGTGGCGCAGTGGTTGAGAGTCCGCCTGCCAATGCAGGGGACACGGGTTCGTGCCCCGGTATGGGAGGATGCCACGGAGCAGCTAGGCCCGAGAGCCATGGCAGTTGAGCCTGCGTGTCCGGAGCCTGTGCTCTGCAACGGAAGAGGCCACAACAGTGAGAGGCCCGCGTACCACAAAAAACACCAAAGAACAAAAAACAGATAGTGAAGCAAAAAAATAACCTGTATTAAGTATAATGGGATTTGGATCTAGAAAGGACTACACAAACAGCAGTAAAATAGAAATGAAGCAATTGTTAAAAGGAACTGGTGTGTCCAGTAAGAAATCAACATTTACAAAAATTTGCTAAGATAAATACATATTGACTGCAACACTGTTTTTACTAACAAGCTGGAAAGAGAACTAGACATCAATTAAAACAGGATAAGCAGGGCTTCCCTGGTGGCACAGTGGTTGAGTCCGCCTGCCGATGCAGGGGACATGGGCTCGTGCCCCGGTCCGGGAAGATCCCACATGCCGCGAAGCGGCTGGGCCCGTGAGCCATGGCCGCTGAGCCTGCGCGTCCAGAGCCTGTGCTCCACAATGGGAGAGGCCACAACAGCGAGAGGCCCGCGTACCGCAAAAAAAAAAGAGGATGAGCAAAACTAATTATAGCCATTTAACAGAGTATCATTAAGCCATTTAAAAAATGAAGCAGATCTATACGTACACACTTATACAGAAAGTAAAATAGCAAGAAGCAAAAAAGATCTTCTTGGTTATAAATAAATACACACACACACACACACACATCTACTGACATATGCATGATTTTTTTTCATTAAAGGATACAGAAGAAACTTAAAATACAGAAGAAACAGTGACTCCTATAAGAAAGCAGAAGGCGGGGCCAGGGAAAAGGACAGTTTTCTGTGCTGTCTGAGCTTTCCATTTCCAAGATAGGTGAACTAGAAAGCCCTGTGTCTCTGCAGAGCCAAAGAACTAAGATTACTTCAAGTTGCTCCCCAACCTGAATACACCCTTAGAAGCGCTCGATAAAATATAAAATTGTAGAACAAAAGAGAAGATTGTAAATTTTTTTTTTTTAAACAAACTAACACTGAAACGAATTTATCACCTGCAGACTTTTGCTGAAATACAGGATGTACTTCAGGAGAAGTAAACCCAGAAGCAAGGACTAAGATACAATAAGCAATGTGCTTTTCTAATATTATAAACCAAAAACTGTTAACATGGGTTATAAATAAGCACACAAAAAGCAATAAAATGAAAGCTCATAGGAAATAACTACAAAATTACTCTGCTTCAAAAGTCAAAACTCCCTTAGGGGTGAGGCAAAGTTTTCTAAGAGCTCACAAGAGCTCTACGAGGCCTAAAGAAATGTTGTTCTTTGTCATCACTACATCCTCAGTACCTCACATGGTGTCTTCTACAACCAACATTCAATATGGGTTCAAGTAATGACTGTTACACTACTGCCTGTTCGTAGCAGCAACAAATATCTTTCAGCACAAATGCTTACACATCTAATCAATGTTTTTTCCTAACTATGGCATGACCATAGATAGCAGGAAAATAAAGTGGCAAAGTGCATGCCAGGCTAAGAGCTGAGAACAATTCATACTCGACAGAAGTGCTAGAGCAACCATGAGGCCTGGGAAATTAAAATTTTTTTAATTTCCCAGTAGATTCTGGTGTGTAGCCATTTTTTTTTTTTTTTTTTTTTTTGGCCATGAGGGGCAGCATGAGGGATCTTAGTTCCCCGACCAGGTATTGAACCCGGGCCCCCTGTAGTGGAAGAGCAGAGTCTTAACCACTGGACCACCAGGGAAGTCCCTGGCCAAATTTTTGAATCATAAAATCTAAGGCTGGATAAACTTGAAGCTCTCTCTTCCAGGTCTAAGCAGCCTATGATTCTAAAACTTTATCTTAGATAACAATTTTCAAATTTCTGCAAGAGACCTAGTATAAACGTAACTAGTTTAAGCATATTAGTATATGATATGAATGACTTCAATTTTATTAGAAAAAGAGTATTTTACAGTTTACAGAAACGCTAGGTTTAGGGTCCAAATGAAACCAGAAATGTCTGACTAGTTTCTAGCGTTTGCTGAGTTTGTTTTAACTTATTTAGCATCAACGCAGTTATTCAGTGACTTGACCGTAATTGCTCAATTGCTCAATAAACATTTACTGAACAGTTAAAAAAAAAAAAAAAAAAAAACTAACCTGGATTTTACCCAAAAGGAAATGAGAATCTACCAAAAAGATTTACAGATGAATGATGATCAAATTTTCACCTTTTAAAGAAATACTGGCTCTAGTATAAAGAATACTTTAGGGACTTCCCTGGTGGCACAATGGTTAAGAATCCGCCTGCCAATGCAGCAACTACTGAGCCTGCGCTCTAGAGCCCGCAAGCCACAACTACTGAGCCCATGTGCCACAACTACCGAAGCCCATGTGCCTAGAGCCCGTGCTCTGCAACAAGAGAAGCCACCGCAGTGAGAAGCCCACGCACCACAATGAAGAGTAGCCCCCACTCATCACAACGAGGGAAAGCCCACGTGCGGCAACGAAGACCCAACGCAGCCATAAATAAATAAATAAATAAATTTATTTTTTTAAAAAAAGAAGAAGTCTGCTGCAGAAACTGGGCAGCTGTCTGTGGCGCCATGACCTCTGGGGGCAGTCAAGAGAAGGTACACAGAACTTTACTGAAGTGCTAAGTTAAAAAAACAAGTGCAAAAAATTTAAGAGCAAAATAGAAAGCAATCAGATGCTTTATTTTAAGAAATACAAAATTTTGGGAATTCCCTGGGGATCCAGTGGTTAGGACTGCGTGCTTCCACTGCAGGGGGCACCGGCTGGATCCCTGGTCAGGGAACGAAGATCCCACAAGCTGCACAGCATGGCCAAAATAAATAAATAAATAATTTTTAAAAAAAGAAATCCAAAATTTTACAGATAATGGAAAAGATGAGTAATAGGAAGAACCAGAAAAAGTTTTTTGGAGAATTAACAGGAAAGAAGAAAGGGTAGAGATAAACAATATAGACAGGGATAAAAAGAAACCTAGAAACAGGAATGGGAAGAAGTAAGCTTCTGAGATATATTTAAGCAGCTTGACATGTTAGGTATCTGACCAATGACTGCGAGTAAATGTTATGTTATGTATAACACCTGTTATGAGTGCTCTTAAAAATTCAGTTAGCTCTGCCTCAAGTGTTTAAAATGTTCTTGCCAAATACTCAGAATTTAGTATTCCTCAATTCCCATACCCAACAGCACACATGAATCTTTTTCATCTCTGCCAAGGAATATCCATCTGTAAATCTTCTGACATGTAGTAAGAATCTTAAATAGCCAGCATTTGCCATAATTCTTCTTTCCACCAAACAAAATCTTGATATGTGACTTTATGCCACAACTACATACCAAGAATCACCCCACTGGGCTTCTCTTTGCCAGCAGAAACATGTACTCACTTCTGGCAAAAGTTAACAACCTTAATCACCTCCAACAATACTATTTATGTAGGTAACTTATTTTTAGTAAGTTTTTTTTCCTAAGGAAGTTCTCTCAGAGAAGTGAAATGTTTCTTTCTAGCATTTTCAGTTTCAACTGTCTCTAAACCCCTAACTAGCGACTTAGTAATAGGTGTCAACGGGGACACCTACACGGAAACGCGTCTTACCTTGCCGCATGAGCATCAGCTGGTGCTCGTGCCGGGCCGCTTCCATTTCCGCCTCCAGTTTCTCTTTGGCTTCTCGGATGTTTCTATCAACCTGCTCGCGCTGCTGCTTCTCCATTTCATCCAGAGCCTTCCAGCGAGATGCATACTCAAATTCAAATGTCCCAGGCTGAGCAAAACGCGGCGGCTGTTCTCTTTCCCTAAGTTTACAAGGAAAGACACACAGAAATGTTATGTTTCAAAGGTAAAATGACATGTAAGAACAACAAACACTACCATTCACTGAGCTATTACAATGTTCATGGCACTGTTGACAAGTACCCTCCGTGAAATATATCACGGCAACATTGTCAAGCAGGTTTTAACAAGCCTAAGTTTGAGAAACTGCCCAAAGATGCCCAACTAATTAGTAAGGGCACCAGGATTCAAACCTAGGCAATCTGATGCTACAATCTGCACTCCCCTAATTAACAACTCCAATAAGGCCTTCCTGGTTTTCACTCAACAATTTTATATAAGGTAGTCTGCAACATATGACTCAAGTGTCCCTTAAGTTAATTGGCTGAAGTCAGATTTTTCTCTCTAAAAGTATAACTTTTAGGGATAGTAATACAAGCAGATACAGTTAACTGTTATGTACCAGGTTCATTGGCTAGGCCAAAAACTGTAGGCCTAATTTACTACAACTGGCTTAATACTTGTTTGCCTTGCTAGACTATAAACTCAATGAGTACATGAAATTTCTATTAACCACTGTAACTGTAACTAAGTACCTAGACATACCTAGCACATTGTACACATTTAGTATTTATTTCTTTGAATGAATGAATAAATGACCGAAAAAATTTAAGACCTGTGAATGTACCTGACAGTCAAAGAAATTCTTCAGTTATTCAAAAGTACTGATAAGAACATAATTCTCACTCATCAATAAAAGTACAGATGGCATGCAATCACAAATTTTAACTTTTATTTTGGGGTGGGGAGGGGAAGATGGTGGATGGGACAAAGTTGGGAGATAAAGGGAGAGGTTGTCACAGAGGGAAAATGTAGTGACAAGAAACAGCTGTGGGACTTCCCTGGTGGCACAGTGGTGAAGAATCCTCCTGCCAATGCAGGGAACATGGGATGGAGTCCTGGTCCAGGAAGACCCCACGTGCCGTGGAACAACTAAGTCCATGCACCACAGCTACTGAGCCTGCGCTCTAGAGCCTGCAAGCCACAACTAGTGAAGCCCACACGCCTAAGGCCCGTGCCATGCAACACGAAAAGCCACTGCCATGGAAGCCTGCATACTGCAACGAAGAGCAGCCCCCGCTGGCCGCAACTAGAGAAAGCCCACGTGCAGCAACAAAGAACCAATGCAGCCAAAGATAAGTAACTAAATTTATTTTAAAAATAATAATAAGAGGCACCCATATTTGTCATTTAAATCAACTACAAGGAAAAACATCCATCTGCACTAAAATCAAGGAATGCTCATTAAAACATGCATAAAATGTCATCTTGAGCCTACACTATCAAATCTTAACATCATAACATCCATCTTCTGTCAGGACAAAGAAAAATACTTTTACACATACACTCATAAGTATAAATTGGTATAGTATTTGGGGAGAACCATCTGGCAGTATTAATCACAGTTAAATATGCATACCCTTTGATCTAAGCCATCATACCTCACTTTCTTGGTTTTAAATGGTATTTTTCGCTACTTCATATGTTTTATAATCTTTGGTTCATTAATTATTGTATAGCCCCACCATGAGAAACGTTAAGCATTGTGAGGGCAAAAACAGTTCTAAGTTGCACTGGCAGGACCAAGAACAGTGCCTAGCACAAAGGCATTCCAATATTTGTTGAACTCATGCATGCAAATATTACAGGTTTTTTGTTTTTTTCTTTTGGGCCACTCCATGCAGCATGTGGGATCTTAGTTCCCCAACCAGAGATGATCAAACCCACACCTCCTGCTTTGCAAGCACAGTCTTAACCACTGGACCGCCAGGGAAGTCCATTACAGTTTTATTTACTATAATAAATGAGTGACTGGTTAAGAACAATACAACATATTCATACAGGCCACTTATGCAAAAATATCTGAATCACACTGAGTGAAAAGTAATTCAAAAAGAATAACATATAACATTTTGAAAACAGGCTATTTTTCTTTTTCATCTTTAAGAAAAATTCTTAACTCTTTGCCAAGTTATTTAACTAGAACCTTCTCCACTCCACCCCTGCCAAAATGTCTCCTAACTCATGGCACTTCCCTGGTGGTCCAGTGGTTAAGACTCCACCTTGCAGTGCAGGGGACGCCGGTTCGATCCCTGGTCGGAGAACTAGGATACCACATGCCGCGGGGCAAGAAGCCCACGTGCCACAACTAGAGAGCCTGCGTGCCACAACTACAGAGTCCACACACTCTGGAGCCCACGGGCTCTGGAGCCCATGCACCACAACTATAAAGAAGCCCGCACACCGCAACGAGACCCCATGTGCTGCTACTAAGACCCAAGCAGCCATAAATAAATAAATAAATAAATATTTCAAAAAGTCTCCTAACTCTTAATTCATAATACACCTGAAGCATACTAAATACAGAAATTTACATATCTAAAATTCTTTATTGGGGCTTCCCCGGTGGTGCAGTGGATAAGACTCCGTGCTCCCAATGCAGGGGGCCCAGGTTCGATCCCTGGTCAGGGAACTAGATCCCACATGCATGCCACAACTAAGAGTTCACATGCCACAACTAAGGAGCCCACATGACATAACTAAGGAGCTGCCGAGAAGCAACTAAAAGAGCCCATGAGCCGCAACTAAGGAGCCCACCTGCCACAACTAAGAGCCGGTGCAACCAAATAAATAATAAATAAATATCAAAAAAAGAAAATTCAGGGCTTCTCTGGTGGCACAGTGGTTGAGAGTCTGCCTGCCGATGCAGGGGACGCGGGTTCGTGCCCTGGTCCGGGAAGATCCCACATGCCGCGGAGCGGCTGGGCCCATGAGCCATGGCCACTGAGCCTGTGCGTCTGGAGCCTGTGTTCCGCAACGGGAGAGGCCACAACAGTGAGAGGCCCGTGTACCGCAAAAAAAAAAATCATTGTTTCTCTGGCATAAATACTACTGACAGTATCCTCTTACCTACCCCATCCATGCCCCAGTTGTAAAAGTTGAGACTTCAAAGTCAAGTTAACATTTTACCAATATACACAAGAAAACTAGCATTCCATGTAGACCAGCCCACTCTACTAACCAGATTGTATGACTAAACAGCACACCTTATAATCCAACAATACTCGATTACAAATGTGAAGTAATAAATACCCTTGAGAGCACAGATCTAAATTATCTTTGTTAGTAAAATCTTACTTATGATACTGCTGAGTTTTCTGCATTAGCTTCTCTGGCAAGCCATCTTCATCATCAAACTGCTCCATGGGCTCCACAATGACTGGACGAGGGGTCCTGGACAGGTAAAAAGCATTAATAAGAATTAATACAGTATCAAGAATTAACGTCCTCCTAGAAATCTTTTATAGTAACTCCAAGATACATACTTGGAAATTTTCTTTCCTGAGTAAAATGTCTGAAATCAGTCAAAAACACTGGCTGCACAGACACAGGTGAATGTCCAAGTCAAAAATGAGTGTTTATTTTTAGAGAATGGAGTCTATTCAAGGTGACAGAAAAATACATCAACCACGAACCTGCGTGAGCACCGCAGTTAACTTTTACAAAGCACAATGCAGAAGAGCGAGTACCTGACTCTCATTCTGTGTGTGTCGTCCTCATCCCCCCAACCCCATCACCTCAAATTCCCACCACTGCCCACCTGCCAGTCTCCCTCTGTGTCCAACCGGTCTTGTAAAGAAAAGTCTTTCTAAAACCCAAAATGAGACCTAAAAGATTATCAGCCAAGAAAAAGGGAACGAGGCGGGGCCAGAAGCAACACATGCAAGGAGGAAACGGGGTGGGGGGACAAGAAGAGTGGATGATGACAGATCTGACCTGGAAACCCTCCTTTATTGTTTTCCAAAGGAAGGGAAAGCTCACTGAGGAAAGACAAGAAAGAGAAGTAACTGCAGTAGATGATATACTGATATTAAAACTTTCCTTGCTATCAGTCTCTCACCATGCAAACAGACTAAAATCTATTTATACTGCCTTCTGAACAGAGATGCTTCAGAGACAAAAAAGTCACGGTTAATTTTTGAGGTGTTAACAGAGGAGCTAGAGAGGTGAAAGGGCTTTCGCAGTTCAGAATGCTTCCCTTTACAAATAAATAAAGGTCCAGAGATTAAGAGACTAAATCCTCCACTGTAGGGAAAGGAAAGATATAAATCGGTTATTTATAAAGTTATTCCTGGGCTAATGAAGACATTTTAGAGAGAAAATGAATTAGAAGCAGATGTGGAATACCTTGGGGTGATGAAGACAGCGAGATTAGAAACCTCAGATAAAATGCGTGGGAACCCAAAAGAAAAGGGACTCACAGGCCTCATTTTCCAGGGTGAGATCTCGTGTCCAACATGTAAAAACAGAAACATAAGAAAGAATAAGTAAACACAGCCTCCAAGAGTACACATAACCCAGTGAGGTGTGAGAAAGCAGCCAAGAACTCCTGAACCCACCCAGCCCATAGGAAGATCTAGTATTCTGAGAGCACCCAAAGGGGCCCAGGGACAAAATGAAGAAGATGCACTATATGGACCACTTAACCACTGGAAGCCTTGGCAGGGCCACAAACATTCGAAGAGTAATAGAGCCAGGTAAGAACTACACCCGAACCGAGGCCAGCAACGACTGAAACCTGCACCCTCCACTTCAACACCACGAGGCCACCACCACCCTAGACAAAAATCAGAAGAGACCTCAAGAGGAAAATGTACTGGGGCTTCCCCTGTAACACAGTGGTTAAGAATCCACCTACCAATGCAGGGGACATGGGATCGAGCCCTGGTCTGGGAAGATCCCACGTGCCACGGAGTAACTAGGCCCTTGCACCCCAACTACTGAGCCTGTGAGCCACAATTACTGAGCCCGCATGCCACAACTACTGAGCCTGCACTCTAGAGCCTGCCTGCAAGCCACAACTACTGAGCCCACGCGCCACAACTACTTAAGTCCACATGCCTAGAACCTGTGCTCCACAACAAAAGAAGCCACCACAATGAGAAGCCTGCGCACCACAACGAACAGTAGCCCCTGCTCGCCGCAACTAGAGAAAGCCCACGGGCAGCAACGAAGACCCAACGCAGCCAAAAACAAATAAATAAAATTTAAAAAAATAATAATGCCAATGTCATAACACTGACATTTTTGTCATTTGGGGAGCTAAAACAGATAAAAGGAAATAACAGATGTAAATAAATTCAATGTGTGATCTTTGATTGCAAAAAATAAGTTATAAAACACATTACTAGGCAATGGGGAAACATAATATTCAATTAAAATTAAACTTTAATATTCAATATTAAATAAAAATATTGGATAAACATTGTTTCCTCAGTGTGACAATTATATTGTGGCTTTATTCATAGAAGATACATGCCAAGTACTGTAATCAGGGGTCAAGTATGTATCCACTGCTGACTCTTAAATGAATTAGCTAAGAAAAAAACAAATTTGTACACATAGTGAAAAAACTATGACAAAATGCTAACAATCAGTGAGTGAAGATAACATTTATATTAACATTAAAGGATTGTTTTAAAGGGAAAATATCTTTCTCTAAACTGAAATTAAAACGTACACTTTTTCCTCCTTCTAAGGAAGCAACTCCAACATCATCTTTAGGGTATCAGTTGGAAAATAGTAAGAACAGACCACTATATCTTCATTGAAGTTAACCTGAAATGATCTTTAAAAAAACAAACCAAAGAAAAAAGGGAAAGGGAAAAAAATTTGAAAAGTGAGCACCTATCATTATGCCTCCCCAATTCCTGTGAGCTCCAGGCATGAGCACCTCTGCTGCTCTAGGTGTGATTCTAATGTTTAAAGATGTGGACATACCTTTATTATCATAGGTGAAGCTTTTTAATTTCCCCTTTTTTCTATTTTTCTGCCTCTTTTGTAATTTCAAAACAGCACAGACATATAATTTACACATAGTTTTGCACACTGTGTGGTAATCATTATATATACTGTGTACAAGGTCATTTACCTAAAGGCATGTGTAGTATACAACATTTTATGACAATTTAAAGGTATTTTCAAGAGAAATTTTGATTACACAAGATGTCTACATTTAGAAACTAAATCCCTGTGATACCACTCCTATAAATCACTTGTATTACCTCAGATATCTGAGATACAGTCAGTCCATCAGTAAGTATTTGATTACCTAACAGGTACCAAGACTGCAGTTGGGGCTAGGGATACAATGATAAACAATCCCTGAAAGTCTTCTAAGAGACCCACCCCCTCCAAAAAAATGAGTAAACAAAAGAACCATTTTAAGACCTAAGAAGAAAAAACGATGCTGTCAGAAAGAATAACAGAGGCGCCACTTTAGATAACGCAGTCCAGAAAATCCTCTCCATAAAGCGACCCTTCAGCTGAGACCAACTATTCAAACAGCAGGGAGAAGAGCATCCTGAGCTCCATGAGAATGTTTAACAACAAAGGACCTGAGTAAGGAGAGTCTACAGAAAGAAGAAACCACTCCACCTGCAGCACAGTATAAGAACCAAGGGAGGGCTTCCCTGGTGGCGCAGTGGTTGAGAGTCCGCCTGCCGATGCAGGGGACACGGGTTCGTGCCCTGGTCTGGGAGGATCCCACATGCAGCGGAACGGCTGGGCCGGTGAGCCATGGCCGCTGAGCCTGCGCGTCCGGAGCCTGTGCTCCGCAACGGGAGAGGCCACAACAGTGAGAGGCCCGCATACCGCAAAAAAAAAAAAAAAAAAAAGAAGCAAGGGAGAGACTTCCCTTGTGGCACAGTGGTTACGAATCCACCTGCCGACGCAGGGAACGTGGGTTTGATCCATGGTCTGGAAGATAAGATCCCACATGCCGCAGAGCAACTAGGCCTGTGTGCCACAACTACTGAGCCCACGCGCCTAGAGCCTCTACTCCGCAAGAAGAGAAACCACAGCAAAGAGAAGCCCACGCACCACAATTAAGAGTAGCCCCGGCTCGCCGCAACTAAAGAAAGCCCGTGTGCCCCAACGAAGACCCAATGCAGCCATAAATAAATAAATTTACTTAAAAGAAAAAAAAAGAAGCAAAGGATTTGGCATCAGGCTAAACTCCACCATTTATCTGCTGTGCAATCTTAAGCAAATTACTTAACATCTCTGGGCCAATTTTCTCACCTGAAAAATGGAACAAATAATAACCAGTGTTGTTCTGGAAATCCATGAAATAAGACACATAAAATGTTCAACACCTTGCCCATTCCCTCAAAATTGTTATAAATTATTCTAAAAGCTACCCGTGAGAATTAAATATTTACCAATGCCTGGCTATGACTTTAAAAAACAGCAATTAAAGCCTGCAGTGGAAAAAACATACTAACCACACACCTTGCCTACTGCTTTAGTCCTTGCCTTCCTTCACTCTTTAAATAACTATTAGAAGCTTACTATGTGGCCAAGAAATATTAGAATACAAATGTTAGGATTATAGTGTTAAGCCGGACAAAGTCCCTGCCCTAGTGGAGCTTATATTCTACCGCGGAGAAAGACATGCAACTTAACACTAAGTGCTATGAAGAAAAATAAATTGGAGAATAAAGCATCAGGCTATTTTAAGATAAAACAGTCAGCTTCCCTGAGGAGATAACATCTTAGCAAAATGTGAATAAAATGCAAGAGCAAGGCCCATGATGATCTGGAGAGAGAGCATCTCTAAGCAAAGGGAACAAGAGCCAAGTCCCTGAGAGAACAAGTTGGCAGAGCTGTAATTCATGCTACATCTGCTATAAAACAGCTTTCGCACAAATGCTTAACTGTCAAAAACAAACTGAAAAATGCTTTACAAATCACCAAACGAAGCTCCTTGGGGCCAGGAAACAATTTTTTTACACTGTCTTTGTATCCAATTCCCCAAATCCTAAAATATTTGAATGATCCCAATCAACAGCACAAGTGCCAGAGGTGGGCACAGTATCAGATAAAAGATATCAATTCAGTAATCAACTAAGGAACTTTTACACCAAATTCAGTCTGAAGACTAAGTAAGAATGCATATCCAGAGCTTTCTTGTGGGCAAACTGAAAGGAAAGACATGTTAATGTGGCAACAGGTTTAATGACCATCATAATTACTTTAAAATATTTTTAAGTAAATGGAGAGATACATCACATTTCGTGGATTGGAAAAGGTTGACAGAAGATATTAATGTTCCCCAGAATGATCTGTAAACTCAAAGCAATTCCAATCAAAAGCCCAGCAGATTATACACAGAAACTAACACACCACTGTAAAGCAATTATACTCCAATAAAGATGTTTTAAAAAAAAAAGGCCCAGCAGAATCCTTTTTATTGACAAGCTGATTTTAAAACCAGTAAGGATATACAAGGAAATGATAATAAACAGAACGATTTTGCAAAAGGAATAAAGCTGGATGATGCTATCTGACTTCAAAGCTTAGGGTAAGGCAATTAAGAAAGTACAGTACTGGTGTAATAGACATACTGATCAATTAAACAGAAAAAAGAGTACAGATTTTTTTTCCAGTTTTTTGATAAAGGTAAAAGGTAACAAAGGGGAAATCATAATCTTTTCAATTAATGGTGCCAGAACCATAACCCAGATATCTATGTTAAATAAATAAACTGTTACCTCCCAACATACTCAATACGAATCACAGGTTTAAATAAAAAGCTATAAAATTTCTCAAGAAAACAAGAGAAAGCTTTGCTACCTGAGGAAAGGTGAAGATATCATACAAGGATTCAAAAAGAACAAAGCATGAAAGAAAATAAATTGATAAACTGGACTTCACCAAATATAAAAACTTCTGCCTTTGAAAACCACTATTTAAAAAATTAGAAAGCAAACCACAGACTGGGAGAAATAGTCTTAATACAGACCTGTACCCAGATCTGTTAATAATGTAAGACAAACAAGTCAATTAAAAAACAGGCAAAAAATGTCAACAGACATTTCACAAAACACATAAAAATAGCCAAAAAGCACTTGAAAAGATGCTCATCATTGGTCATTAGGAAAATAAAATTTAAACCACAATGAGACACCACTACACTCACTAGAGTATCTAAAAGGCTGAAAATACGAAGTGCTGGTAAGGACACGATCAACTAGAACCCTCTCATTCGCTGCTGGTGGGAATGTAAATAGGTACAAACATTCTGGAAAACAGGTTGGCAGTTTCCTATAAAGCTGAACATATGGTCATTTCCTCCTAAGTATTACCCAAGCCACATGAAAGCATAATGTTCACAAGAAGCTTTGTACACAAATGTTCATAACAGCTTTATTCACAATGGCCAGTAGTTGGAAGCAACTTGAACATCCACCCACAGGTCACCGGACAAAGTTGTAGCTCGGCCATAAAAAGGAACAAAATACTGATACAATGATATGGATGAAATCTCATAAACACGCTAAGCAAAAGAAATCAGACATGAAAGAACACACACTATATGATTTCATTTCTATGAAATACAAGAAAAGACAACTAATTTATAATAACAGAAAGATCAAGAGCAGTCTAGGCAGGGATAAGAGGTGGGGAGTAACTGCAAAAGGACACAAAGGAACTTTTGTTGAATGCTGGAAATGTTCTATATCTTGACTGTGGTAGTAGGTTACATGACTACATACATACATTTTTAAAAACTCATTGAGCTCTACATGCAAAATTGGGTGCATTTTAACATATGTAAATTATACTTCAAAGTTGATCAAAATATCATTCATTCATTAAATGTAACATTTTGCTTTGCACACAATAGACGTTCAGTAAATTGAACAAAAATTGTAGTACAAAACATTCCTGAGATTCATGTAGAACGGATCAGTACACTGAAGTCTGAATAAAGTATGACTCCTGACGGTACATAAATATACCCTATTTGTATTCACTGAGTATTTACTCAACACCTACTTACCACATGCCAAGACAACATACAGAATGCACTGCAAAGAAAGAAGTGAGAACAGAGAGAAGCCCATGTGTAACTGTACAGAAGAATGACAAGACATTTAAACTCACGTTGTTAGCAAGAATGCCCCATCACCACATCTCTCCAGAGCCTTTCGTGCAGGAGGTTTTGCTGCAAATTCCACAAAGCCTTTTCCTGTAGCTCTACCACGGTCATCCACGACAACCACAGCTTTCTCTACTGGACCAAACTGGGAAAATGCTTGCTCCAGAAGCTCATTGGAGACAACCGGAGAGAGGTTCTTGACAGTTAAGGCTGCTCCATGTGTAGCAAAACGAATTCGGAGAGGTCTGCTCTTCAGAATGGTGCCGTCCAGCTCTGCTTTTGCAATTTCAGCCAGTGTTCTGGACTCCTTTTTAGGAAGAAAAAAATCACCTTTTAAAAATTACAGTAACAAAAAATTTTAAATAGTGGTTTGTTTCTAGGGAGGAGAGCTGGGCAGCTTTAGAAAATGACTGATAAGGTCATTCTGTTTTTGTGTCATTCAATGATGGTATCACATGCATTTTATTAATATTTTAAAGATAATTAATTTTAAACATTTTAAGTAGAAAGTTCCAACCTCAATGTCGTGTAAAAAGTCATCACTTAAAGATGATCTACTCATAAACAAATTGCCAACTATTAAATATTCAAAGTAATATCTTTTATCAATCTCCTACATGTATTAAAAGAAACACATAATACTTTTTGAGACCAATTACCAGTTACTAGAAACTATTACTGAAAATATATTAGTTCTCTACACATTCCATGTTTCTGATATTTGTATCTTAATAAAGCATACCGCCTCTCCAATGCCAGACAAATCCCCTTCCATTTTTATTTCCATTTCTTTTATATTATCTGTAAGAAAACTACTATCAGGTGTTATTAATCACCTCTTCTGAAATACTTTCATGGGCCACACATTTCTCACCATTACAGTGAGAGAAGCAAACACACATTCATGGGCTATAAGAGTTCTCTCCCAAAAAAAGAGTTCTCTCCATTATACAGAAAAGTGCACATACACTTATTATAAACTAGAAAATATGTTCATTGCTGAAACTACAAGTTAAGAGAACATCCTTCTTGAAGAATTCAAAGTTGGTATAAAACAGGCATCTAAAACAACAAACTGGTAAACTTACTACAAGTATGTTCTTCTTGTGCTGTGAAAACTTCCCAGCAAAAACTGAAAGAGGCTTTATACGCATTTGTGAGAAAAGTACAATGTACTTTCTTATGAATAAGGTCACAATAGCTTTTTATTCAATCCCTAAAATGTTCACAACAGCTTTAAATTACAGCACTTAGGCAAAAATCTACCTACAGAACCAATTTTACAAAGACAAATGAAACTAACCTTTTTATAGATACTCAAAATAGCCATTCTGTTTATTACTCTTAACTTAGTAACAGTAGTAGTAGTACCAGCAAACATTTCACGAATATCTAACAAGGGATATGTCCTTTGCAGCTAAGATGTCATGTAATCCAGCAACTCTGAGAGGCAGATTTTAGGAACAGAGTCTTGAATCAAAATGCTGTCACACATATAACTGGGAATGGGAAGAAACGTGAGGAAATTTAATGGGGTGATGATAACATCTTGATCTAAAATCATGAAACCATACACTTAAAATTTGTGCATTTCATTATATGTAGATTTCAAATACCTTAAAAAACAATATTGGACTCTAGTTAATGATAAGCATGCTGAAGTGTTTAAGAGTCATCGACTGATGGACGGATGGAGATAAGAAATACAGATATGTGAAAAAAAATACAGCAAAATTTAACTGTAGAATCTAGGTGTTGAGTGTATGAATGTTCATTTCTATACTCTGAAATTATTCATAATAGTATGTTTGCAGGCAGGGGAATAGAGAGAGCCTGGAGGACTTTGTAAAACTGTCAAGTGTTTCTAGAGGGCATCTCCTGCTCAGATTCAGTCAGACATAGTGACAATGTCACGTATCTTCTTTTTTTCAGGATGAGCAAGAAATCTCCATTTTTATGTTAAATCAAGTACTTTTTTACTGTTGACAACAAATTCAATTTTTAATACTTTCTGGCCAAATAAAATGTTTATGCTGTCCGGAATTTTCAATGCCACAGTCCACCTTCAAAGTTTATACTTTTTATGGTTTTAAATGGTTCTAACATCAGGGTTCCCCCAACCTCAGCACTAGTGACATTAGGGGCAAGATACTTCTTACCGTGGAGGGCTGTCCCGTGCATTGTAGGACGTTTATGCTAGTAGAACCACCCCCCGGTTTGACCACCAAAAATGTCTCCAGACATTGCCAAATGTCCCCTGGGAAGCAAAACCACTCCATTTGAGAACCACTGCTCCAAACGTGTATCAAAGAAACTGTGAAGTCAATTAAAATTATGTATTTGAAATGAACCAGATTTCTTTACTTCATAGCTCCCGATAATGACAATAAGATAACTTTTATTAAGTGGTTATTACATGCCAGCCATTCATTCCTCCCCCCATATATACACATATACACACACGTGTGTGTGCACTATCTTTCATTATCCTTACCAACAATCTAACGAAGTGGGTTTTGTTACTATCCTCCCTTCGCATATGGGGAAACAGGCTTATAAAAGTTCAAGTACCCTGCCCAAGATCACACACAAATGCTTATTTCTATCTATACAAAATTCACGACCTCCATCAATACACCATAAATACAGCCTTCCAGCTGGTATCTCTGCATCACTGTTCATAAAACGTAAACTACAGGTTCTTAACTGAAAGGAATACAAAAAACAAAAAGAAACTGAAGTGACTACCCCAAGACAGAGACTGCTTCAACTAGGGTCTAATGATTTCCACTGGCTCCACTTTCACTTTCCAACAGCTCTTTCCAAAGCACAAGATCTTTTCTCCCACTGTTTACTAATGGTGAAAATTCCCCACCGCAAGAGTACTAATAAGTTAATAAGTATAAGGAAATACACTGACGCAAAATGAAAAAATCCTTGTAGTCATTCAGTAAAGTTGCTTAAGTAGCCTGCAGTACATTCATACTGTGAAATACAATGTGGTCCTTAAAAAGAATCTAGTGCCATGAAAAGATGTTGAAGATGTTTACATTAAATAAAAAACTCAAAGCACAATACAATGTGTATGGTACAATTTGATTTTTATGGAAAAATTACACAATGTTTAACAGTGATCATCTTTACTAAATGTACTAAGGTAGGGAAGATCTGCTAATGTTAGAATTGTAATTAACAGAATGTCTCTGAAAAAAAAGAAAAGAGAATGTCCCTGAAATAAAAGATGACTTCAAACTATATGCTGGGCAGGCCCATTACATTCTCTGCTACGTCTCCTCTAATATTTCAACGATCTATAAGAAGCACATATCATTTCATAATTAAACATAAAAAAGCACTAGAGGAGGGGGTTTAGTCCCCAGTGACTGACTAAAAGTAAATTCAGTTGATTTTAATTCTTTAATTAGAACAATGGTTCTCAAACTTTAACAAGTATCAGAATAACACGGAAGGGTGGTTAAATCCTAAAATTGCTGGGCCCCAACCCCAAATTTTCTGATTCAGTAGATCAAGGGTGGGGCCCTAAAATTTGCTTCTCTAACAAATTCCCAGTTAACAATTTTTGAGATGGTTTAGGGTCAGCATTGCTAGCATGAATGGCAGGGAAAATCATTTAAGTGGACTTCTGCTTACACTAGGAAGAGATCTGAAGTTACTGGACGGGGACCAACCACACTTTTGTGAATCACTGCTCCAGAAATCTGGTTTACTAAAGCTAAAAGTAGGGGAAAATAAAAGCAGAAACCAAGTTCCAGTCAAACTAATGACAGTTTTAACTACAGTAAGCTTGCTTTAAAATGAACTACAACTTTTCAGTAAATTTGTCCAATCTAAATTGTCAGTAACCATCCAAAACCTAAAAAGCAGCGTCTGGGTCTAAAATTCCACAAAATGTGTCCAAAATACACACAGTGTTTCTCATCGCTCATGTACCATGGACTCAACAATATGGGTTAGAACCTCACGAGTAGCTGCCACTTATATTCTTTTCCCCACCATTACATACAAGGAATGCTGACCCTACACCATCTCAAAAATGTTGCCTCGGGCTTCCCTGGTGGCGCAGTGGTTGAGAGTCCGCCTGCCTGCCGATGCAGGGGACGCGGGTTCGTGCCCCGGTTCGGGAGGATCCCACATGCCGCGGAGCAGCTGGGCCCGTGAGCCATGGCCGCTGAGCCTGCGCGTCCGGAGCCTGTGCTCCACAACGGGAGAGGCCACAACAGTGAGAGGCCCGCGTACCGCAAAAAAAAAAAAAACAACAACAACAAAAAAATGTTGCCTCACCTCATCAATTAACTGGAAAACTACAATTAACTAGAAATAAATTAAATATTAACTACTTAACAAGTAAAAAGAATTCCTAAAAACACAAATCAGATCAAATTATACCACTATTTTAGAGCCACTACACCACCAGTACACACTACAGCCACCATACGATTACTTATATTCAGATCAGGTATGCACTATGATTTTTCTAAGGAGAAAAAAATACATAACTCAGAAATATTTAAAGCTCTTAAATACACCTGTTAAACACAGAGTTCAGGTTAAACGGTAAAATTATCCATGAAGTAAATCTCATAAACTAAATTCTAATTTCCAACTGACAAATTTTTAACATTCCTACACAAAAATTTAGGGTGATGGAGTCTAGGAGCATATCTCAAAGGAGCAGACAACAGCAGCCCTTCTCACCTCCCCATTTCATAATCCCACAGATAATTTTCTTAAAGAAAAGAAAAGCAAGGACCTGTATTTTCCAATACGGTAGCCACAAACCACATGTGGCTATTTAAATTAAGAATAAAAATACAGTGGGTGTGAAAAAGAATTAAAAATAAACATGGGGAAACTGAGAAAAAAATAAATTACAAAAATAAATTAATTAAGAATAAATAAAATTTAAAAGTCAACTCCTCGGCCGCAATAGGCACATTGCAAGTGCTGAACACTCACATACGACCAGTGGCTATTCTATTGGACAGTGCAGACACACTGAGGGAGAAAGAATTTTTAGTAGCTTTAAAATTAGGAAGGAAAAAGATTTTTCCACATCAAAAAAGAAATGTTTATTGGCTTAAGTATAAGGCTTCCAGAACAGGGAAATTCAGCCTTACCATTCTTCCTCCAGAATATCAACTTCAAAATAGAACAAGATGGTGCCAGAGGCCAAAGATGGTTAAAATGTTAAATAACACCCTTCTGGAAAGTTTACTAAAAGTTGCCTATAATACGTTATTGTAGAAGCCTAAAAGTCTAACTTCCTTTATTTTAAGATAAGTTTTGGATTTACGTTAAAAATAATTTTAGCAAGTGAAAGGCTGTTTCTCTAATGTCCAAAGGATAATTAAACATACTTATAATTTCATGTTCAAAATGCCAATTATTAAACTTGAATTTTAAGAAAATGTCTAACCCTTCTCTTGAAGACATTTAGATCTTCAAATGTTCTCCCTAATACTAGTGTCACTGAATTATAATCAGTTTTCTCTACGTATTAAAATTCTGCCTTTGTCTACTCACGGAGAGAACTCGATTTTGAAAGTTTAAGTTCCAAAAAGAAAGCTTCGGGAAACTGCAATGAACATAAAATTTGAGGATCAAACTAGAAAGACAAAAGACACAAAACCCACTTATTTATATAAAGCGGCCTCCCTCTAAGAAAGATATTCTGTTGGGGAAAACAAAATCCATCTAAACACGAATTACATTAATGCTGTATAAGTGACACTGTGAACACAAAGCACATAGAAAAACCTAATAAAGTAGCTCTTTTGTCCTGTAAGTGTAAACTCTCACCGCTCAAATTTCTTTTAAAGATAATCAGGGAGGCACAGTTTATGCATGATGTCGGAAAACCCATTAAGGTTTAGACTGAAAAGGGGTAAAATATGTGCTATTCTAGTATCACAATGTATAAGCGGGACATAAAATAGCAGTAAGTCCCCGTAGGAAGCACGAGGCACGCGCTGAGGAGAGGGGAGGAGAAGGGATACGAGGGGAGGGGATACGAGGGGAGACGAGGGGAGGGGAGACGAGGGGAGGGGGGGGAGACGAGGGGAGGGGAGACGAAGGGAGGGGAGGAGACGAGGGGACGGAGGGGAGGCAAAGGGAGGGGAGGGGAGAGGAGGGGAGGGAGAGGAGGGGAGAGGAGGGGAGGGAGGGGAGGGAAAGAAGGGAAGGGGAGGGGAGGGAGAGGAAGGGAGGGGAGGAAGGGATGACCTCTCGGCCCTCGCGGCCCCGCGCCCCGCCCCCGTCCGCCCCTCACCAGGCGGATGAAGCCGAAGCCGCGGTCGCGGTTGATGAACACCTCGCTGGGCTCGCCGTAGCGCTCAAACAGCCGCTTGAAGTCGTCCTCGGTGATGTCCGTGGGCAGGTTCCCCACGAAGAGGCGGCAGCGCTGCGTGTATGTCTTCTCGCCCGGCTTGAGGAAGCTCTTGATGTCGATGGTGAAGCCGCCCTCCTCGGCCGGCCGGTCCTCGGCGGGCACGGCGGGCGCGGGCGGCTCGCCGGGAAGGGCGAGCGCCATGGCCGCCGGCTCGCCCTCGCCGGCCGCCGACTCTAGAGCGCGGAGGCGCGCCGGGTTCTTCTCGATGCGCACTTGCTTCAGGTTTCCTCTCAGCATCATCTCAGCGCGTGCCCCCCCGGACCCGGCCTAGAGCTCGACCTGCGTGTCGATGTCCGCGCACGGAACCGGGGTCGGGAAGGACGCGCTCGGGTACGCCGCCAGCTCGCCGCCCGCACTCACGCCCCGGCCGCTCGCCCAAGATGGCGCCGCCACAGCCGCGGTGGGAGGGAGAGACGCCGCAGAAGCCCCGCCCCTCCGCCGAAGCCGCGCCGGGGCCAACGCGCCTGCGTACTGCTGCGCCCACGGCACCATGGTGGCGCGCGCATGCGCACCGTTGTGCGCGCGTCCCTGTTCGCAGCCTTCCCAGGGCTGAGAGGAAGGCAGATCCCTAGCACCGTAGGAGACAGTGATGTTGGAAGTTGCAGCAGTGTGTGAAAACGCAGTGATTCGGGAAATGTCCACATTCTCTTAGATGCCCAGCTCAATTTTCAATGACAGCAGAAAGTGAAAACTTGCAGATTTATACATAGCGTTGAATGACGAGGTATTTCCCAGTAATTGAAACAAGTAAAAACACATTTCTGCCCTTTTCAAGAGCAAGCTTTTATTATATTTCCTAATGAAAAATCCAATTCTATAAAATAATTGTGATGTTGATTATTCACCTCAGAGAAGGACTCCGTGAACACCTATGGACCACACCCTAGGACAGGGTCATCAAACGTTTTCTGCAAAGCGCCAGATGGCAAATATCTTAAGATCTTCAAGCCATAATCTGAGTCGGCCAAACTACTCAGTTCTGTCCAGTACCGCTCCTGGCACGTGGTAGGTCTTCACTGGGTATTAAAAAGAAATGAATTCACAGTCACTTTACAAAACCGTGCAGTTTCTCGTGAACTTAAACAAATGCTTGATTGAGAACAGCAATCCCTCTCCTATTCATCCAACGGAAATGAAAACTTGTGTTCACTCAAAAACCTGTATGAAAATGTTAATACGGCTTTATCTGTAATCAACGAAAACTGGAAACAACCCAAATGTCCAACTGGTGGATAGTCTAACAGTGGTACATTCATGTAATAGAATATATTCAGCAGTAAAAAGGACTAAACTCCTGATAGATGCAATAATGTGACTCAAAGCCTACATACCGAATATATGACATTCTGGAAAACTAGCTACAGAACACAGATCAGTGGTTGCCAGGAGCTGGGAGGTAGGGAGGGGTTGACTAAGTAGAGATACAGAGAAATTTTTGGAAAGATAAAAGTACGTCTTGGGACTTCCCTGGCAGACCAGTGCTTAGGACTCCACGCTTTCATTGCCGTGGCCCCGGGGTCAATCCCTGGTTGGGGAAATGAGATCCTCCCCACCTCACTCACAGCTGATATTGTCAAATTTATTAATTTCACCGAAAAAAAAGGCACAGTAAATAAAATTGGCTCACTATCCACACCAAATCAACCAACCTAATTCCATATGTAGCCACATGCGCTGCCTTCCCTCCTGTTACAATGAATGAATGGTCAAAAATCCCCTCTTAGGGCTTCCCTGGTGGCGCAGTGGTTGAGAGTCCGCCTGCCGATGCAGGGGACACGGGTTCGTGCCCCGGTCCGGGAAGATCCCACATGCCGCGGAGCGGCTGGGCCCGTGAGCCATGGCCGCTGAGCCTGCGCGTCCGGAGCCTGTGCTCCGCAACGGGAGAGGCCACAACAGTGAGAGGCCCGAGTACTGCAAAAAATAAATAAATAAATAAGAGATTTGTAGTTTTCCTCATATAGATCTTGTAGATAAATTGTTACATTTATATCTAAGTATTCATTTGTTTTGGGTGGCAATGTAAGTGGTATTGTGTTTGTAATTTCAAATTCCACATGTTCATTGCTGGTGTGTAAAAACATTACTGACTTTTGTGTATTAACCTTGTATCCTGAAATCATCCATTTACTTTTTTTTTTTTTTGGCCATACCACGCGACTTGTGGGGTCTTAGTTCCCTGACCAGGGATAGAACCCGAGCCCCCTGCATTGACAGCATGGAGTCTTAACCACTGGACTGCCAGGGAAATCTCCCCCCTCCATTTACTTTTAATCTATATATGCCTTTATACATTTTTTTAAAGATTTATTTTTTTACATTTATTTATTTTATTTTTGGCTGCATCTGGTCTTAGTTGCAGCACACGGGATCTTCACTGAGGCATATGGGATCTTCCCTTGCGGTGCACGGGCTCTTTGTTGTGGCATACAGGCTTCTCTCTACTTATGGTGCGCAGGCTCCAGAGCACGTGAGCTCTGTAGTTTGCAGCACGCAGACTCTCTAGTTGAGGCACACGAGCTCAGTAGTTGTGACGCACGGGCTTAGTTGCCCCACGGTATGTGGGATCTTAGTTCCCCGACCAGGGATCAAACCTGCGTCCCCTGCAGTGTAAGGCAGATTCTTTACCACGGGACCACCAGGGAAGTCCCTATGCCTTTATATTTAAAGTGGGTTCCTTATACACAACATAGAATTGGGTCTTGTTTTTTGATCAACTCTGTCTTTTCATTGGTAATCTCTGTCTTTTAATTGGTGCACTTATATCAATGATGTTCAAAGTGATTACTGATATAGTTTGATTAATATATACCATATTTGTTATCATTTTCCATTTGTCGCCCTAGTTCTTTGCTCCTATATTTATACTTTTTAATTGAAATATAGCTGATTTACAATGTTATGTTAATTACTGCTGTACAGCAATATGACTTAATTATACATATAATACATTCATTTTCATTCTTTTCCATTATGGTTTATCATGCTCCTATTTTTGTAGACCACACTTTCTGCCTTCTGTGGTCTTAACTAAGCATTTTATAATTTAATTTTCTCTCCTTCTTAGCATATCAGTTGTACTTATTTTTCTACTTTTTTAAGTGGTTGCCCTACAGTTTGCAATATACATTTATTTACAACTAATCCAAGACCACTTTCAAATAACACTGATAACTTCACAGGTAGTGTATTTTGTAATAGTAAAATAATCCTGATTCCTCCCTCTCATCCCTTGTATCATTTCAGTCATTCATTTCATCCATATACAAGCCTATATATGTATAATTTAATATATTGTTTCTATTATTATCTTGAACAAAGTTATCTGTTAGATCAATTAAGAATAAGAAAAATAAAAGTTTTTATTTTATATTCACATTCCTTCTCCAGTGCTCTTACTTTCTTTATATAAATCTGAGTATCTGACATATATTATTTTCTTTCTCTGTAAAGCACACCTTTCAACATTTCTTATAAAGCAGATTCACTAGCAACAAATTCCCTCAATTTATCTTTGTCTGAAAAAGTCTTTATTTTTCCTTTGCTTTTGAAGGATAAGATTGCAGGGAACAGAATTCTACAATGGTGTTTTTTTTCCTCAACACTTTAAGTATTTCACTCCACTCTCTCTTGTTTGCCTTGTTTCTGAGGAGAAGTCAAATGTAATTATAATCTTTGTTCCTCTATTGGTAAGGTGTTTTCTTTCTCTGGCTTCCTTCAGGAATTTTTCCTTTAATTTTCTGTCGTTTGAACACGACATGCCCACGTGTAGCTTGTTTTTGTGTTTATCCTGCTCTCTGAGCTTCGTGGATCTGTGGTTTGGTATCTGACATTAATTTGGGAAATTCTCAGTCATTATTGTTTCAAATATTTCTCCTGTTCCTTTCTTTCTTCTTCCTCTGGTGTTCCCATGACTTGCATTTACACTTCCACAGTTCTTGGATATTCTCTTCTCTTCCCCCCTGACCTCCCTCCTTGTTTCATTGCTTTTCAGTTTTGGAGGACCTTTTGGTTTTGCTTTTGTTGTTGTTTTATTTTTATTATTTATTTATTTATTTATTTATTTATTTATTTATTTTTGGCTGTGTTGGGTCTTCGTTGCGGTGCGCAGGCGTCTCACTGCGGTGGCTTCTCTTGTTGCGGAGCACGGGCTCTAGGTGCGTGGGCTTCAGTAGTTGTGGCCCGCGGGCTCAGTAGTTGTGGCTTGCGGGCTTCAGTAGTTGTGGCACGTGGGCTCAGTAGTTGTGGCCCGCGGGCTCTAGAGTGCAGGCTCAGTAGTTGTGGCGCACGGGCTTAGCTGCTCTGCGGCATGTGGGATCTTCCCGGACCAAGGCTCAAACCTGCGTCCCCTGCACTGGCAGGCAGATTCTTAACCGCTGCGCCGCCAGGGAAGCCCCGGAGTTGTTTTAAGGTCACAGTTCGATAAGGCCGCAGGCACGGGCCCCGTGTTCTCTCCCCGCTCCCGCAGGCGCCCCCCAGCGTCCCCACCTCCTCCGCCCCCACCACCCACAGGCGGGGCTCGGCCCGCGGTCTGTGCGCAGGCAACCGCGCCCTGCGGCCCCGGAGGAGAGGTGCCAGGAGGAGGGGCGATGCACCTGGGCCCGGCTCCTGGAGCCCCATCTGCGTGATGGGCGGCGGCGCAGAGGCTGGATCAGGGCCGAGGCTTCCAGGGTGGGGTGCGCACTCGCCCCGAGAACCCCGCGGGAGCCTGACCCCTCGGACCCTCCCCTGTGAAAGCTTCCACGTGCCCACAGCAGGCGCGGCACCGCCTTGCGGAGGCACTCGGAGGCCCTGACCAGACAGCGTCCTTCTCTGCAAAGGGAGTGACAATCTGGGCCACCAGGGAAGCCCGCAACTTACGGATAAGCAGAGTTTCACCCACAGAAGGAGGAGGATGCAGGACCATAGAGTTTTTGTTTGTTTGTTTGTTTTTGCGGTACGCAGGCCTCTCACTGTTGTGGCCTCTCCCGTTGCGGAGCACAGGCTCCGGACGTGCAGGCTCAGCGACCATGGCTCACGGGCCCAGCCGCTCCGCGGCATGTGGGATCTTCCCGGACCGGGGCACGAACCCGTGTCCCCTGCATCGGCAGGCGGACTCTCAACCACTGCGCCACCAGGGAAGCCCTGACCATAGAGTTTTGAAACTTTGATCGGAGCTATTTAGCGGAAGAACACAAAGAGATGCAGTCATTCTTCAGTTAAAGAATGTAATACGAATCTGCGGAGAGTGAAAACGCAGGCCACACCAGCACTGATACGGGAAGAAGCTCTTGGCCTGCAAGCCTGCAGTTCTTGGTCATGCCTGCCGCCTGTCGATGGTGCCTAGATGATCTCACGTGATGTAACCAAGATTGAGAGCTACGGACCTCCCCAAAGCCTCTCAGCACTGCCAGTTACCTTCT